GAATTGAAGAAAAATTACCGTAGAATTAAAAATAGGTGAATATTATTTACATAGTAATGGAAACTTCTAAAATCACTAGAAAGGAGTGTCGGTGTTTTTTCACAGTTCATGATCATATTTAGTACGTAGTGTAGATTCCACAACTAGCGAAAGAATCAATAGTCAATACCAGAATAAACCTTTGAAAAGGAATTCTCTCACTTCATACAAAAAAAGGTCAAAACAGAAAAAGAGAAACTATTAGCAGTAATAAATTCCAACCGCCGTACACTTGGAAGAAAAAACTTATTTACACTTCCAAACTAGTAATACCAAAATTCCATAATTCTACCGAGTCAATTAATGCCTCCGAGAAAAGTGGGACCACCTCCGACGACGATGTAGATAACGGCGTGGGTAACAGAGAGTTCCGACAAACTGGGCACGAAGCGTTCAACTTCAGCCACGCGTCTACACACATCACATGAAAATAATGCCTACAGTGTCTGGTAACATCCTTAACATCTCAGAATCCTTGTACTCGCACAAACAAATAAAACATACGACGTCCTTTCCACTTCCATTTCTTTTGGAGTAAACTAATTTCGGGTACGAGTTAATTACGGCTTGATCAAGGCCTAAAATAGTATTTTGGGATGAAACGTCGTCGTTTTCTTCTTCATCAGCAACAAAAATTAGGCGGGGGAGATATATTCCGTTATTTTCGGTATTCGCATTTCGGACTTGGGCTTGACGGCGGTAGTAGAGGTATGAGGAAAGGAGGAAGAGGAAGCCAAGCACAATTGCAATTGCGTATTTTGTTGAGGTCTTGAATAAGAGTATTGGTGGTGGTTAGAAGAGGAAGAGGAGGTGGTGGTGGGCCGCCGTAGACGGAGGAGGAAACGTTGAACATTGGGAGAAGAGGAAGAGTAGTGTTAAAAGGTCCATTAGATTAAGAGAAGGAAGAAATGTGGGTAAATGTGTTGAGTAAGGTGATTGCTTGTCTTCCATGGCCTAAGCATAAACACTAATTTGGGCTTAGTTATTTATTTCAGAGTTGGTCCACACGTTAGTAGGAGTAATTAGTCCACCAGATTAGGCCCATTGTATATAAAGAAATATATAGGATATTTTGTATAGTTTTGGACAAAAGATTTTTTATTTTTGCGGAATGAGAGTCCGATATTTCTCTCCTCTCTCTCTCGCCTTTCCCCAAATCTTAACAGTTCTCTCTATGCGATCTCATGGTTTCTTCATGTTTTCATGGTATCAGAGCAGGAATTCTTCCTGAGCTCGTCATTCCGCGTCGTCTGATTGTACCCTCAAGCGTTTTTGGTGGAGTTTCCGTTTTCTAGGGGTTTTTTTTCATCGATTTTTTCCTCATTTTGGCGATAATCAGTGATATTTGCTTTGCCTAATGTGTTCTCTCAGTATTGAAGCAGATTTGCTGGAATTAATTCATTTTGAGTTGTGGTTGGTCTAATTTTGAAGAACGCCTGAATTTAGTGTTTTGTGTGTGGATAATCGTGGTGATTTTCCTCTGATTTGAGGTCGTTTTTTGCATCGTCGTTGTCTTATCAAGGCCGTTGCTTTTTTCCGGTTGCGAAGGAGTCGGGTAACCTCGAACCTTTGCCTCATTTTTATCTGCTTCCTCTATTTTCGGCGTGACTACATGATTAGACCTGTGTTGTTGGTTACATGTGTGAATTGTCTTATTGAGTTTGTTATTCGAGCATCATTATTTGATCTTCTTGTGTGTTTGAGTTTTGAATATGGCCGGAGGTGATGCTCTCAGTACTTCTGCTTCTGTCTATTCTCCTAACCCCTCGAGTCCACTGCATTTACATTCCTCTGATGTTCCTGGAACTTGTCTAGTGCCTGTTCCATTCTCTAGATCGGGTTATGGTGGTTGGAAAAAAAGTATGATAGTTTCCTTATCTGCTAAAAATAAAATTGCCCTAATTGATGGTTCATGTCCTAAACCATCTGATAGTGCACCTGAACTATAACAGTGGAATAGATGTAACAACATGGTAATATCATGAATAACTAGTTCTTTATCCCCAACCATTACTGAGAGTGTGTAATATTCCGAGACAACTGAGAGTATATGGAAGCAATTAGATAGTAGATATGATGCTGTAAATGGGACCAAGGTTTTTGAAATAAAAAAGGAACTTGCTTTCACTTCTCAAGGTTCTTTGGACATAGCTTCATATTTTAATAAACTCAAAAAACTATGGGATGAATTAGAGGTGATGCGCAAGAAACATTCTAATTCTTGTGTGTGTCCAGCTAAGTCTGGTGCTCAAAAGGAAGAGGAGGAAGATAAGGTGCACCAATTTCTTATGGGACTCAATGAGACCTATGCGAGTGTGAGAAGTAACCTTTTGATGATGAATCCTTTACTCTCCCTTGATACTGCCTACAATATACTTCTCCAAGATGAGAGGCAGAGGCAAGTAAATTCCGTTACTCAATTTCATCTAGAATCATCCTCTTTTAATGTGAATTTCAATGGAAAAAATCCAGTCCACCCTAATCCTCCTCAAAGACAATATAATCAGAGAGTTAATTTTGATCAATCCAAATTCAACCTCTTCTGCAAGTATTGCAAGAAGTCTGGTCACTTGATTGATAAGTGCTATAAGCTCCACGGTTTTCCTCAGAATTTTAAGTTCACCAAAGGAAGAAAAATGGCAGCCAATGCCATTGTTGATTCAATCTCTCACAGACTTAGGTATGGTCTGACAATGCTTCTTCTGTAAGTGGTATGCAAGCTGAATATGGCTCGCTGGTACCTGGTTTGACAAAAAAGCAATATTCTTAGCTGATGACTCTAATACAACAAACTCATGTGTCTGATTCTGGTCCCCCTAGTCCTCAGTCCAACCTTGTTGAGTCTGCCAATTTTGTTGGTACTCTCTTGCATACTAATATAGTAGGGAATTCTATTTCTTGCATGTTTTCTCATTTTTTTGGTTCTATTTGGATAGTAGATTCTGGTTCTACTAACCATATGACTGCCAACAAAGACTTACTTTTTAATATCATTCCACTCACTATTCCTTTGCTTGTTTCCCTTTCAAATGGATATAAAGCAAAAGTGACATGCACTAGTTCATTTGCTTTAACCTCATCTATTGCACTTCACAATGTACTTTCCATTCCTTCATTTCATCATAATATGATTTCTGTGTGCAAGCTTATAAAGCAGCTGAATTGTATAGTCCAGTTTAGTTCTGATTCTTGTCTGTTACAGGGCCCCTTTCTGAAGATGCCTCTAGAACTTGGTAAACTGGATAATGGACTTTACAAGTTTGTGCGGCAGAATTCACCACTTCCTACCCCATCCTCTATTCAACAACCTATTTCGAATAGTTGCAGCTTACCTTCTCTATGTGATACTCTTTCTGCTTTGTCATTTGTAAATACTTCATGTGTTTTTCCAAATACATTTGTACATACTCCACTTTGTAATAAAGCTGCAATGAATAAACTTGATATACTTTGGCATAATAGACTTGCTCATGTGCCTTTTGTTAGGATGAAAACTATTTCTGTGTTATCTAATTCTCTTTCTGCTAGGCAGTCTTTTCCTTTTCATGTTTGTCCCTTATCTAGGCAAACTAGACTTCCATTTCCTGATAGTACAATTCATAGAACCAAACCATTCCAAAATATCCACATAGATACTTGGGGACCTTTTCACACTCCTACACACTCCAATTCCAGATGTTTTCTTACAGTTATTGATGATTATTCAAGAGCAACTTGGACTCATCTAATGGGATCCAAGAGTAATGCTTTCTCTTTACTAAAAGCATTCATTGCAATGGTTCATACACAGTTTAATGTGAAAGTACAACAAGTGAGAAGTAAGAACGCACTAGAATTGGGAGGCAGCAATTCTGCTATTTCCTTTTTTGCTGAAAATGGAATCATTTACCAAACTAGTTGTCCTCACACTCCTCAACAAAATAGTGTGGTGGAAAGAAAATATAGGACTTTACTTGAAGCTTCCAGAGCATTAATGTTTCAATCCAATATTCCCATAAGATTTTGGGGGGACTGCCTATTAGCTACAACCTACATTATAAATAGACTTCCTTCTAAAATTCTTCATGACAAATCCCCATTTGAGCTCCTGTATGGATATCCTCCAACTTACTCTCATTTGAGAACCTTTGGTTGTTTATGTCATGCAACTTTTCCTATTCCTCAGCGAGACAAGTTCAAACTAAGAGCCATTTCTTGTGTTTTTCTTGGTTATCCTTTTGCTAAAAAGGGGTATAAACTCTATAACCTTCACACCAAACAATGTTTTATTTCCAGAGATATAGTTTTTCATGAAGAGATTTTTCCTTTTTCCAAACCTGCCCCATCTTCCTCCCCAACTAAGTCCCCAATATCATATGATGATGATCCTACTCCTTCCTTGCCCACTAGTTCTGCCTCTATTCCTCCTGCTTCTACTTCTTCTAACTCTACTCCAGCTTCACCTGATGTTGGTCCTACTCCTTCCTCTCCCATTCCTCCCGTTTCTCCTCCTATTTTTGAAGTTTCCCCTTCTTCTACTCTAATATCTCAACTAAATTCCCTTCTCATTCCTGCTCAGTCTCCAGCCTTGCCTACAAATCCAATTCTAAGGAAATCTGTTTGACAACATCAACCTCCTTCCCATTTGCAAGATTATATCTATCAACTCCCTCCTTCCTTTTTCTGGTTCTACCTCCTCTTTCCAACATGCAGAAGTTGAACCTACTACTTACTCTCAAGCTACTTTAGTTCCAGTCTGGCAAGAGGCCATGGGGAAGGAATTTGAGGCCTTAGAGGCCAATCACACTTGGGATATAGTTGAGTTAACTAAGGTCAAGAAACCTATTGGTTTTAAATAGGTATATAAAATTAAATATAGGGATGATGGTAGTGTCGAACATTATAAAGCAAGATTAGTAGTTAGAGGTGACACCCAAGTGGAAGGTGTTGACTTTACTAAAACTTTCTCACCTGTGGTGAAGATGTCTACTATCAAGTGTTTAATTGCTCTTGCTGTAAAACGGAAATGGCGTTCGTTTCAATTAGATGTTAATAACACTTTTCTTCATGGTGATCTTGATGAAGAATTTTACATGAAACTCTCTCCTGACTCTTTGTTTCTGCATTGTCGGTTTCTACTTCCACTCCTTTGTCTTGTAAATTGCAAAAGTGATGTGATTTTTTGAGTTAACAAAGAACCAACCGACCAGGATCAAGATCTTGAATGAAAACATAATTTTGTGGGCCAATTTCAAGAAACAACGTATCTCAAGTTTTACGACTCGTAATCTGATGATTCAAAAACGAAGTAAAAGATGACGATCTGAACTATAAGAAAGACTATTTACTCGTTCAAAATAAGTAAAGATTTATACTGTACCGGTTCAAGAAAAGTTATGATTCTATGATATCAAAAAAATAAATTTAGATCAAGAAACGTCTTCTTGAATGATCAAGAACTATAAAATTCCTAAAGTCACCACTTGAAATCAATTAACGTGATAAAGAAACACCACACGCAATTAAAAATAAGATAAAGACTATCACCACCTTGCTTGGAGCCAAAAATAAGGATAAAGAAGACAAAATAGAGAAAAATACTCTATTGTAAAACTAGGGCAAGCTTTAAAAATGTGAATTTTCATTCTACAAGGCAAGAGAACCCTTTATATAGGCCTAGAGTCTCTTCTTTGATGACTATAATTCCTATTCTAACAAGAAAATAAAATAACTAAAGACAAGGAAAGTAAAATCCATATTCTACAAGGAAAAGAAATTAGAATCCTACTAAAAGGAAAATCCTTATTCTAAAAGGAATAAACTAAATCTTATTTTAAGAAGGAAAGGGTTTTGACTTCTTGAAATCAATCTTGGGTTTCTTGGACTTCTTGAAAATACGTCCATATATTTGACTTGAGCTCTAAAATATGATCTTGGCCAAAATTAATAAAATTTAATATAGATTCTTCTTTTACATCAAAAAGTCTCTATATGGGTTGAAGCAAGCATCTAGACAATGGTATGCTAAATTGTCCCAAGCCTTGTGTTCAAGAGGGTATACTCATTCCATTAATGACTATTCATTGTTTGTTAAAGGGGCTCCTGGGCATCTTGTGGTTTTGGTAGTGTACGTTGATGACATACTTCTTATAGGGGATGATGCCTTTGAAATTTCAGAACTCAAGCATTTTTTAGACGGTGAATTCAAAATTAAGGATCTGTATTCCTTAAATTACTTCTTGGGTATTGAGATCACTTATTTTGATGATGGTATTCTTTTAAATCAAAGGAAGTTTATTCTTAATCTTCTTAAGGAGCATGATTGCTTGGTTGTTAGTTTAGTAGTTTGTCCTTTGGATTTGAATATCAAGCTCTCAACAGATTCAGGGGATTTGTTGCCTAACCCAGCTGCTTACAGAAGTCTTATTGGCAAGTTGTTATTCCTAACTCATACACGACCTGACTTGTGCTTCTTTGTACAACACTTGGGTCAGTTCAATCAGGTTCCTCGTGTGCCTCATATGTCCGTTGCATTACACATTCTGCGTTATCTCAAAGGCACTGTTGATCTTGGTTTATTTTACTCTTCCGCTTCTGATCTCTCTTTAACAGCTTACTTTAACAGTGATTGGGCAGCATGTGCTGACACTCTCAATTATCTGTGACTGGATTTTGTATCTTCTTGGGTGGTAGCTTGGTAGGTTGGAAATCTAAGAATCAACATGTTGTTTCTTTATCTTCCACTGAGGCAGAGTATCGGGCTCTTAGTAAAGTTGTGGCAGAATTGACTTGGTTGACTCGCATTCTATCTGATATTTGTGTGCCTGTTTCCTTAGTTGTTTGTGTTTTTTGTGATAGTCAGGCAGCTATACACATAGCCAAGAATTCGGTTTTTCACGAGCGCACAAAGCATATTGAAGTGGATTGTCACTTCATTCACACCAAGGTTTCTGATGGGCTTATCACTCTATCTCATATCTCCACTGCTAAGCAGCTAGCTGACATCTTGACAAAGTCGTTGCCTGGTCCTCTTCATCATCATCATTTGTCCAAGTTGAAGTTGATCTCCCCCTTCAACTCGGGGGGGAGGGGGTGTTGAGTTGAGAGATTACTTGTCTTCCAGGCCTAAGCATAAATACTAATTTGAGCTTAGTTATTTATTTCAGAGTTGGTCCACATATTAGTAGGAGTAGTTAGTCCTCCAGATTAGGCCCATTGTATATAAAGAAATGTATAGGGTATTTTATATAGTTTTGGACAAAAGATTTTTCATTTTTGCGGAATAAGAGTCTGATATTTCTCTCCTCTCTCTCTTGCCTTTCCCCAAATCTTAACAGTTCTCTCTATGCGATCTCATGGTTTCTTTATGTTTTCAAAATGGCTTAGATGCTGCATTAAATAGCGTGGTTTGAAAACGGAGAAAAAGTCATTTAATGGCCAACTTGGAAGTATAGAGATGATAGTGATGACTTTGCTGCATATACATATTTGGTATTTAGTCTAAAATGGTCAACCCAAAGCCAAGAATGTTGGTTCCTCTGTTCATATTTTGAGAAAATTCGAAAAAATAAAAAGAACGAAACTTTTATTTATTAAAATATATAGGGTAAAGAAGTAGAGATGAAGGACAATATAGGAAATACAGGAACTTTTGAGGTACTAGAATGATAATCATGGTAGAGAAATTTGTATTCGGTCAATCCCTTGTAACAATCACAGTATAACTTATATGGGAATTGCCGTATTATTTTCCAGCTCCAATGAACTGAGAAGGCCTTATTGAATTCGAGCTCCAACGTATTGTAGTCGTGTTTTTCCTTCTCAAAGGTGAAGCCCCTCTCAAAAATGTATTTAAGTAGGTGAATGCGGGTCCTTTGCGGCGCACTCACTGCATGCAGCTACTTATTCATGCTCTAAATCCAATTTCCTTCCATTGCTTATGTGTCTTCAAATTCCTCCAACTGTCCCTTGCATGACTTCTTTAATAACGTCCAATTGCTTCATGTTAAATTGGAATTGTTCTTAACCACTTCTCCACTGCTCATCTCGATCATCATCACTTTCTTGTCCCATTTAAATCTATAACTGTTAATAATCTCTTTAATTGAATAAAATTATATAAAATATAATAAAGTAATATCATAATACATAGAAATATATCTAACATCAACTTATTATGATTTATGAGATTTCAACAGTACTCATAATCACATCAATCAGTACTAGGGAAATCCTCTTAGCAGGAATTGAAGTCCATTGCTTCCATATTGCACTAAGATATATTGGGGAGGAGGATTATTGTAAAATTGCACCACCAAAAATAGTCAAAAAGACCTGTTTTGAGTGCACCTCCTATCCAAGCATGGACACTGTCGTGCTGTACTCAAATTAACCTTCTTCTAACCACGTTTACTATATGAAGAGAGAACACGAGCACGGTCATCCCAATGCCCGTTTATTCCCCTTTCGATTCGATAACAAAGTCAATTCCATCCAAAACAACATTGTCGTGCTGTACTCAAATTAACAGCATTACCAAAGTGTTTATCCCAAAATTGGATAACAATTAAATTTGTACGCAGTTTTAAGGATACGTAGTTTGATTCAACACAAATAATTAAGAATATTAGACAAATGAATTAAAGGCAAATTAAGCGATCAAACCGATTATGATGGTATGGTCAAGCCTAAACTTAGACTGAACTGTGACCTCGTCCTCGATTGGACCCTCGGTTCGAGCCCAGTCATGAATGAAGAACAAAATAAGTGAACAAGAACTTTAACAATAGCTAAAAGACAGAAAATAAACTTGTATTGCTTTGATTTGCGTGTTGAATGTGTTTTACAAAAGAACAATTCGTCTTTTATATAGTAGGAGAGTTTTCTCCCTAGTATAAGTCTAAAAAGGGTAAAAATCTTCCTTTTCCATTAATTACTGATCCATAATCGACCTCGAGCGAGATCCGCGCCATGATATCCGGATGAGTGCGAATATCAAGGCACTTTATCCCTCATGTGTAACCGTTTATCATATTTCCCGAAGTCTTAGAACTCATTCTCGGCCCGGGGCGTGTCGCTTTATCATACCCGATGGCGAGCACATAGTTCACTCTTCCGGGATCTCGATACGAAGGGTCTCTAACCTCGATTACAATCTCGTGCATCCGTGCCCTTCCTCCGTTTTCTCACCGGGAAATCGTGATAGACATTACCTCCAATTTTACCGGTACACAAATAGTCCCCTCGTTTTTCGGAGAATAGGTTTACCGAATCGATAGGAAGCGAAAGATGAACCTCGGTTCCTTCCTTCGTACGTTACAACCGAGATGACAAGTCAATCAAAACGTCCCATTAGTCGCGTCGTTCTTACTTCGGACACGTGTCATCTGCCGGTTGACTGTCCTCGAACGTAAAACGTCGCGCATTGATTGTTCTTCCTCTATAAAAGCTCCGACCCTTTTTCACTTCTTCCGCTTTACGATTCTAGAATTTACCCTCAAACTCTCTAATTAATTTTAACTCCTCCAAATCTTCATACATTTCTCCTTAAACCTTCATATCTTCATCTTCAATCCTCATACATTTTCTTTGGATCTTCAACCCAGACCTTCATACCTTCATACCATCTTCAAATCTTCATATTTTTCTTCAAACCTTCATATTTCTCAGATTACGATGGAAAACATGTCCAAATCAGTGCCTCAACAGACTGCTCCTTCATCTTTCCACCCGGCCACAGATGCCGAGGTGGTCATTCCCAAGGTGGCTCAGGATCCCCCCATGAAGAGCTTCGTACCCGGGGGCTGCTCTATCGGGAATGACTTCAATGTCGAGAAGGCCTCTAGTCAACAGGACCGAGGCGAGGGAGTATGGAGATACATATGCTCCGTTATTGAGGAAACACTACCCATAGTCCGAGCGGACTGTAACTGGGAGGGTAAGGAGGTGGTCATCTCCGGGCCCAATGAAGACACCACTACTCACGTGGAGGAGTACTTAAGTATTTATACTTACCCCTTCATGCTCTCCCTAGTGGACCCCATATTCCTTTCCTTCTACAAAAGATACGAGGTGTGCCTTGGACAAATTCACCCGTCCTTTTGGAGGATCGTGATTCTCCTACGATATTTCGTGAATAATAATGAAGCCCCTCGGTTCACCCTCGGCCACCTACTCTGCCTATATAGTCATCGAATATTCCGAGGGGGGCTGATCAAGCTCGTCCGCCTAGAAAGCAAGGCTCCGTTCTCGAGTATCGATGAGGACCGAGATCGAGGATGGCAGGGGAGGTTCGTTCGGGTAAAAATCGAAGACCTCATCCCTTCCGAGTTTCTGTCGTTCCCTGAGAAGTGGAACACACACCGTAAGTATTTTCTTTCTCTAGTATTTGTCATTTCCTTTTCTTCTTTCTCTCATTGCCTATGTTTGTCGCCATGTAGCCGTTGCCCAAGATCTCAATGCAGTTCCCCATTTCAAGGAGTGGATCAAGGGGATCTTCAAACAAATGCCATACTCCGAGCGCTCATGGCGCAAGATCTTGAAGGGAAAATGGGAGGCCTGTTCCCATGGTGAGGCTCTTTCCCGAATAATTGTTTTCGTACTTTTAGCTTACACATTGCTAAGTCTTCTTTTTTTCTTACAGGTTTTCCCAAGACCACTGAACTTAGGCTGTTGGATGAGGAAGGGGATCCTTCCTCGCTTGCCGAACCCTCCGCTTCGGGACATCCCGGGGTTTCCGCTAAGGAGGGGAAGTGTTACACCCTGCCCTATATTTTCGTACGTAAAACTGCATCGTGAGCAAACTAATGTAGGACCCAAAAAATGAGATCATCTTTGAAAATATATAAAGCAAGTTAATCATGATACCTTGGAAGTTATAAATAATGAAGATCATGAACAACAAGTACAAAGATGGTTGGAAGGTTAAGAAGCTAAAGGAATTGAAGAAAATAATGTTTCGTCGAAAGACGACAAGTTGGGAATGTTATAGCATGTACTTTTAGGGTGAGACCAGGGTGTTTAACATGATAAGGAGGTTATGTTATGAGTTATGTTATTCTTATGATTGTCGTGTGTTATACTTTGAAGTCAAGCGAGTGGTGGAACAAAAGTCGATGGAAGTCATCACAAGTTACGTTCATAAGTTTTACTGAAACTTTGGGTCAAATGTAACTGCGATTTTCTCCCAATATACTTAGAGTTATGGGATGTTCCACCCATAAAATTAAATATCTATGAGTCTATTTTCCAACGCATTAAATCGTTTGTCAATACGATATCAGAGTAGAGAGATATTAGTAGTTTTGTGAGACTGTGCAGACTGTCACCTACTTGCTTAAACGAGAATCCAAAACTGGGCCAGTTCGGGTCATCCAAAACTGGGCCAGTTCGGGTCGTTCAAAGAGGAATTTTTAAAGGCCTATCCACTTCATATATTAGAATGATAATAGGCAAAATTACCAGACTTAATCTCTGCAAAAATCCTCCCAAATATTTCCCAAAAACCTCAATTGATTTTCTCTCCCTTTCAAGTTCTAATTGGAGGTAAAGCCTAGAGTTTGAAGAACCAAGATAGGAGCTGAGTTATACCACAAATAAGGTAAGTTTACTGCTCTTTTTCATCCATTCTTTACATTTATAGATGCATGGTAAGTTATTCTATATT